GTCTCTCTCCGTGTATGTCTCTCTCCTTGCCTGTCTCTCTCCGTGTATGTCTCTCTCCTTGCCTGTCTCTCTCCGTGTATGCCTCTCTCCTTGCCTGTCTCTCTCCGTGTATGTCTCTCTCCTTGCCTGTCTCTCTCCGTGTATGTTTCTCTCCTTGCCTGTCTCTCTCCGTGTATGTCTCTCTCCATGTTTGTCTCTCTCCTTGTTTGTCTCTGTGCTTGCCTGTCTCTCTCTCCTTGTCTGTCTCTCTCTTCGTGTCTATCTTTCTCTTTTACCTGTCTCTCTCCGTGTCCGTCTCTCTCCGTGTCTGTCTCCCTCATTGCCTGTCTTTCTCCTTGTTTGCCTCCCTCCTTGCCTGTCTCCCTCCTTGCCAGTCTCTCTCCTTGCCAGTCTCTCTCCTTGCCAGTCTCTCTCCTTGCCTGTCTCTCTCTCCCTTGCCTGTCTCTCTCCTTGTCTGTCTGTCTGTCTCCTTGTCTGTCTCTCACCTTGTCTGTCTCTCTTCTTGTCTGTCTGTCTCTCTCCTTGTTCGTCTTTATCCTTGCCAGTCTCTCTCCTTGCCTGTCGCTCTCCTTGCCTGTCTCTCTCCTTGTTTGTCTATCTCTCTCCTTGTCTGTCTGTCTCTCTCCTTGTCTGTCTCTCTCCTTGTCTGTCTCTCTCCTTGTCTGTCTCTCTCCTTGTCTGTCTCTCTCCGTGTCTGTCTCTCTCCTTGTCTGTCTCTCTCCGTGTATGTTTCTCTCCTTGCCTGTCTCTCTCCGTGTATGTCTCTCTCCTTGTCTGTCTCTCTCCGTGTATGTCTCTCTCTCCTTGTCTGTCTCTCTCCGTGTATGTCTCTCTCATTGCCTGTCTCTCTCCGTGTATGTCTCTCTCATTGCCTGTCTCTCTCCGTGTATGTCTCTCTCCTTGCCTGTCTCTCTCCGTGTATGTCTCTCTCCTTGCCTGTCTCTCTCCGTGTATGTCTCTCTCCTTGCCTGTCTCTCTCCGTGTATGTCTCTCTCCTTGCCTGTCTCTCTCCGTGTATGCCTCTCTCCTTGCCTGTCTCTCTCCGTGTATGTCTCTCTCCTTGCCTGTCTCTCTCCGTGTATGTTTCTCTCCTTGCCTGTCTCTCTCCGTGTATGTCTCTCTCCATGTTTGTCTCTCTCCTTGTTTGTCTCTGTGCTTGCCTGTCTCTCTCTCCTTGTCTGTCTCTCTTCGTGTCTATCTTTCTCTTTACCTGTCTCTCTCCGTGTCCGTCTCTCTCCGTGTCTGTCTCCCTCATTGCCTGTCTTTCTCCTTGTTTGCCTCCCTCCTTGCCTGTCTCCCTCCTTGCCAGTCTCTCTCCTTGCCAGTCTCTCTCCTTGCCAGTCTCTCTCCTTGCCTGTCTCTCTCTCCTTGCCTGTCTCTCTCCTTGTCTGTCTGTCTGTCTCCTTGTCTGTCTCTCACCTTGTCTGTCTCTCTTCTTGTCTGTCTGTCTCTCTCCTTGTTCGTCTTTATCCTTGCCAGTCTCTCTCCTTGCCTGTCGCTCTCCTTGCCTGTCTCTCTCCTTGTTTGTCTATCTCTCTCCTTGTCTGTCTGTCTCTCTCCTTGTCTGTCTCTCTCCTTGTCTGTCTCTCTCCTTGTCTGTCTCTTTCCTTGTCTGTCTCTCTCCTTGTCTGTCTCTCTCCTTGACTGTCTCTCTCCTGTCTGTCTCTCTCCTTGTCAGTCTCTTGTCTGTCTCTCTCCTTGCCAGTCCCTTGTCTGTCTCTCTCCTAGCCAGTCTCTTGTCTGTCTCTCTCCCTGCCTGTCTCCTGTCTGTCTCTCTCCTTGCCAGTCTTCTGTCTGTCTCTCTCCTTGCCTGACTCTCTCTCCACGTCTGTCTCTCTCATTTCCTGTCTCTCTTCATGTATGTCTCTTTCCTTGTCTGTCTCTCTCTTTGTCTGTCCCCATTTAGCCAAAATTCAATAATAATATAACGACACAGCATACTCGTTCGATTCTAATTTTAGGATACATATGTGGAAGGTAAACTAAAACCCTATTAAATTTGATACTGCCACAACCTTATTCATGAAGAAGTCAGGCGGTAGCCACTAGAACTTGATACCTTTGTCTCACAATGGAAGGAATTATTAGATACCACCTTCCTAGACGACCTGGGTGGCAGACAGACACAAATGCAATCCACAAATAAAGATCACGGTGATAGATGCAAGAACGCTTCATAGTCTGTGGGACTTGAAATCAGTATCTTGAGCGTAATAGTTACTACTCTATCTTTAATAGGATCCGCAACCATCAGGCCACCCCTTTTATAGTCACATCAGAGCTTCTATGCTCCTCTAGGTTCCTTAAAGCACGCTACAACAGACCATAGGTGATAAGATGGTTGGGTACTTTCAAACCAAACAAAGGAAATCCAGGCGTTCCCTGGAAAGTCCAGTATTCTAGAGGTGTTAGGGTTAGTATCTGTTCATTTCAAACCGTAATGAATTGAAATGAATATACCGAGAGCTGGAAATCAACGAAAACTCTAGACACAAAATTAGACAGTTTTGAAAATAAATGCCTTAGAAGAATACTAAATTTCAAATGGTCAGATTTCCGAACCAATACACAAATAAGGCAAGAATCCAGGCAAGAGTATGTGTCTAATTTTATACGAAAACGCCGCTGGAACTATGTCGGCCACGCCCTTAGAATGGATAAATCAAGACTTCCTAACCAAGCCCTCATTTGGACACCACAGGGAAAAAGATCTCGTGGAAGACCAAGGGAAACCCTACGTAGAACTATCATCAGGGAAGGCTCGCTCATGGGCCACTCAAACATCCAAGACCTACAACAGATTACAACGAACCGCCATGCATGGAGAGTCATGACCTCTGCCCTATGTGCCGCACTCGACACAAGAGGAAAGACTAACTAACTAACTAACTAATAACGATAGTCGTAGTTATGACTGATTGCTACAACATAACAGTCAAACAATCACAATTCAAAAAGAGTTAAAATCGTCTATTAAGTCTACTCGATACCTCAGTGACCCTGGTAGTTGCATTCCCCAGAGTGGTTTGCGCTACCAGAACGAATAGTCTCTGGCGTCCCGGCCTAGTCTCAAACAACCATGTTAACTGCTCTCCTACATTTACCTACCCAACCACCCCACAAATTAGACAGCCACTCACCCACCCATTTAGTGAAACAGCCACCCAACTAACCAGTCGATGAAGTAGTCAAACAGCTACCGATTTAGTCAAACAGCCACCCAGCCTACTAATGAAACAGTCAAACAGTTACCCAGTTAATAAAACAAAAACCAATATCTAACTAACCATCCAATAAACTATCCATCCTCAAACAAAACATCCACATTAAGTAGCTAACGAATCAAGAGCTCATCAAATACACCAATCAGGCTCTCAACTAAGCAACAAACTAGCTACCCAACCAACCAACCACAAAACAAGCATCCGGCTAACAAGCCCAATTGAAATTGTTTTCACTAAAGCTTAAATATCGCAGCTTTGTTATAAGAAAAGGCTCCCCGTTCCCTACCTCTTCCTGATACACTATTAGTGCAATTCCCCCACATCTATCTCCCAGAGAGCACTTGAGTCCCGTACCCCACAAGCTAAAACAATCCTCATCGCCGAACATTTGGATCTCAAAGCGTGAGCTGGGTATTCATGGGATCTGGTATTTACGTACACAGGAGCCTAGCTACCAACCCAAATTGACATAATCGGACCACATTATAACAAATGACGGATAGAATCATTGCGAGGCTTCATCTAACGTTTCACGCACATTTCTATGACATGATTAACCCGTTTTTACCGCAGATAGACAACTATAAGACCACTATGGTCACATGCCGATAATTTCCACATTTCGGATCTATCCAACGCAAAAACTGTTTTCAGTACTTTTTGGCAAAGTAAAATACTCAAAATGTTAATGGTGGTCCAGAGGACGTTATGTTGAGAAGCTCGCTCTCCTACGAAATATGCCTTGCCAAATCAGAAAGAGCAGAAAACAAGAGGACAACACCAGAAATTCAAGGGCATGACTAACACAGTCGATAACAGGAAAGGGAACAAGCGGTCTGACTTAAAGGGAAGACGGACTAAGCCCAAAGACGTCGCAAATACCAGAACTTTAGTCACGAAAGTGGCGCAAATAAACCAGACCATAAATGTAGCCGGAGACTGTTTGCAGCTTAGGCTGGCTAGCTAGCAGCAGGTTGAACGTGGTCAAACTTTTAATTTTGTTCTTTAAAGGAATCGAAAAAGTAAATAGTTGTCAGACCGCACAAATGAAAAGGACAAACCTTTTATTTGAGCACAATGGAGATAATTGTACATTGGGTATTCCCGTGCGTGGTCTGTCCTTCGACGCAGCAGCGACTCCAGTGTACCGCTACTGATTATTCTCATGAGAAGTTGGTCTTTAGGCTTAGCCTCTAAGACAATATAGGCGTGCTTCATTCTGAAGTCACGCAGTCGCGTTAAAGTCAAAGATTCATATTATACCCCTGTCTAGTCCGCACATAAATACGAGTACAAAAACTAGACTTTTGTACAGTTTATGCACTACATTCTTTTACCCCAATGTGTTACCAGTACCAAACGTAGACATTAACAATAAAATACAACAGAAAAATCGAAACAAAAGAGAAGAAACGCATACGGCGAATCATAAATGTGACTAGAAGAGACAGAATCAATAAATGACGATATGAGGACACACGTTGGGACGGAACGAGTACTAAACTACAACAAGATGCAACAGATCAAATGGTTTGGACATGTGTAAAGACAACCACAAGATAGTGCCCCACAAAACACTCAGTCACTTTGACATAATGGAAGAAGAACCAGAGGTCAACCACAAAAATTATGGGTAGATGGTATATCCAAGGCGGTAAATACGAGCACCAACATAGCACACACGAAAGCTCTCGCCCAATATCTCTTCAAACCCTACTACTAAAAGAATATACAGGACTAGAGAAGAAAGAGATATTCATTTAATCTTGTGAATACTTACCCTTGGTGAAATTAAAATTGTCCAGGTGTGCTGCCTTCTGTCGAGCACTGAAGAAAAACTCCGATGTGTTGCCCAGGTAGTCGTACTCCAAAGACAGGTCCTTCACGTTGATCCTGCCATCCTCCAGTCGATAAGCAAACGGACAAAACAGGTGGTAGTTTTTAAACTCGTCCTTATCGTAGCAGTTGCCTGCAGCAAAGATATCGGGGTCAGACTCCACGATCGACCTTACCTGTGAATACAGCAAGTATTCCGAATGGAGAACATCCTTCTCCACAACCTTCCAGATACGAGTCAAAAAATTGGCTCGGTTGACGGCGATCATGGCAAGAGATTTGAACCGGTTAAGACCGTATTGTTTGATGACACCTGAACCGAGGATATAGCCAGTTCCCGGTTTACACTTATCCTTGTTTTGCTCATACTCCTCAACCATCTCCAGAAACAACTCAATCTTATCCCGCTCATCCCCTTCTCTAGGTCTGTTGGTTGGTTTAGGAGTTTTGGTCATGTGTGACTTGTCTTTGTCACCAACGATATCATAGCTGTTGTAATTGAAGTCGCCATCTGGTGGTACATCGGTGAAACCCATGTAATCCAGGGTCATGTTGAAATCTGCGTCTTCTGGCAGGTGGTAGGTGAAGATAGTGAAGTTGCTGTCGGTGAAGTAGTCGTCTGGGTTGACGTGGATGCCAGAGGAGACTGCGACTGTGATAGTCACGATAAAGTAGGCAGTAGCATAAAGGGCCATAACGAGTTCTGGTGTCACACGATGGCTGGGCATTGTGTCTGTTTCTTATTGCTTTTCTTGGTAAGTGTATCTGAGATTCCTCCCTTCTGTGTTTGTTTCTAGAGTAACTAAATCTGGGACCACTTCCTTGTATGTTGCTTTCCTTGGTAAGTGTATCTGAGATTTCTTCCTTCTGTGTTCGTTTCTAAAGTAAATTATTATGGGATCCCTTCCTTATATGTTTTTTCCCTTTGGTAAGTGTTTTTATGATCACTTATTTATCTTTTGCTTTCTTTGGTTAGGGTATCTATGATCCCTTCTTTATGTGTTCCCTTCTTACAGAATAATTGCGAAGCACATCTGAAATATATAAAGAAGTGCGTTAGTTTATAAACACAAACTGTATCTTATTTATCATTCTATAGACATCAGTTGTATCAACAAGTAGCTTATCTGGAGCAATACGTTATCTTCTCCTCCTCCCTTTTCTCCAACATCTCCTCCTGTTATTCTTCTTCTTCTTCTTCTTCTTCTTCTTCTTCTTCTTCTTCTTCTTCTTCTTCTTCTTCTTCTTCTTCTTCTTCTTCTTCTTCTTCTTCTTCTTCTTCTTCTTCATCCTCTTCTTCTTCATCCTCTTCTTCTGCTTCTTTTGCTTCTGCTTCTGCTTCTTCTTCTGTTTTTTCTTCTTCTTCTTCTTCTTCTTCTTCTTCTTCTTCTTCTTCTTCTTCTTCTTCTTCTTCTTCTTCTTCTTCTTCTTCTTCTTCTTCTTCTTCTTCTTCTTCTTCTTCTTCCTCTTCCTCTTCTTCTTCTCCTCCTTATTCGTTACATTCTATTTTACCCATTCAGAGGAAGATATAAACCCCCCATTCTTTTTTCCAGGCCAGCATCATACATAGACACTTGATACGGTTATAGCTCTGTAACCACATATGTGCGTGTGTGTGTATGTGTGTGTGTGTGTATATATAAATATATATATATATATATATATATATATATATATATATATATATATATATATATATATATATATATATATATATATATATATATTTAATTTTTTATTAAGCATACATACAAACAAACACATTGTGTAGTAATTATAGTGCATATTCTGTCTGCGTGTGTGATTGCCTGTGTTTGTAAGCCATTTAATAATGCCGACTTGTTCTCTTATGACCTCTGCATAATATGGAGCTCAGTCAATAATTTCATAAATTAGTGGGAGATAAAACATACACTTACACATACACACACATAACACACATACACACACGTAAACAAAATCGTAACTGTTTGCGAAATATTAGTGTGTTACAAACCTCTACACCACAAACATATATTTCTCTAAATGGCTTTTTCTTTCTTTTTTTTTTTTTTTTAAATTTTGCAATTTCAGTTTATATTTACTCGTTTGAGCCACTACGTGATCACTGACAAGCCACAATTTTCCCTTTTAAATTCTCAGAATAACCGAATTCAGGGTTTACTCCATACGATCATCAACGTACAGCAAATAATATTGACAAACCTTTCAGCGATCTTAACCCTCTCTCGTTCCCACATTTTCATACATTTGCAATTCGCCGTTGCAGAGATTCAGGTTTTGAACCAACAGTAGCGACACGGTTTCCCGAGAAGGCTGTTGAGTTCTGTAATTGCTGCCCAGGATGTGAAATGTTTGGCAAGCCAAGATCGAAGCACGGGACAAAGGTGCCCCTACAGCTGTCTCTTTCTGTGGACCTGGAGTCTAATTGGGTTATCCAATGAAGACATACATGGGTATAGACACGTGACCGCGTTGACCAATGATGATCGTGTTCTGCTTGGTTGGTTTCCCGGTCCTTTGTTCTTCGACACGACCGTAGCATTAACGTCTGTTTGTCATATAGACGTGAGCAGGGTTTGTGAATACAGTATTGTATGTTTTGAATTTATTATTTGTGCAGAATATCTTTTATTCTCACATGTAGTGTTTACTTTTTTTTTAAATATGACGTAGAAGTAATATATTTTGTATGTGACATGCATGCCATATGCTATATATGCATGTGATATGTGATTTTTTGTATGTTATAAATACATTTGACATATTTGTATGTTATAAATACATATGCCATGTGATATTTTGTGTGTTCTTTTGATATGTAATTTTTTTTTTATGTGATAGGTATGCGATATATATTAGAATGTGATACGCTAGTATGTGTATTCGATATGACTGCAATATGAGATATATTCGTACATGATGCCGGGTGCTGGGTTCGATCCCAGCTTCAGACAATTTGTCTTGCGTTGGTTTCAACAGTGGTACCGAGCACTGACCGTCTAGAAAGCAATGGCAAACTTCTAGATGTAAATTTCCCTAGAAAAACTACACCAGTTTAAAAAAAATGCTGGAGTTGGTTCTGCAATGTCCTCTAAAGGATACACAACTAACTTTAACTAGATATGTACATAATATGTGTTATCTCTGTATGTGATATGTTCCCGACGTGTAACATCTCTGTATGTGATATGTTCACGACATGTGACATCTCTGTGTGTGATATGTTCACGACATGTAACATCTCTGTATGTGATATGTTCACGACATGTGACATCTCTGTATGTGATATGTTCACGACGTGTGTTATCTCTGTATGTGATATGTTCACGACTTGTGACATCTCTGTATGTGATATGTTCACGACGTTTCACATCTTTGTATGTGATATGTTCACGACGTGTGTTATCTCTGTATGTGATATGTTCACGACGTGTAACATCTCTGTATGTGATATGTTCACGACGTGTAACATCTCTGTATGTGATATGTTCACGATGTGTAACATCTCTGTATGTGATATGTTCACGACGTGTAACATCTTTGTATGTGATATGTTCACGACATGTAACATCTCTGTATGTGATATGTTTACGATGTGTAACATCTCTGTATGTGATATGTTCACGACGTGTGTTATCTCTGTATGTGATATGTTCACGACATGTGACATCTCTGTATGTGATATGTTCACGACATGTAACATCTCTGTATGTGATATGTTCACGGTGTGTAACATCTCTGTATGTGATATGTTCACGACGTGTAACATCTCTGTATGTGATATGTTCACGATGTGTTAGCTTTAACGGCACATGAAGGATGGTGTAGTGAGCATCAAGCCGATCGCATTTGCTTCCCAGCTCACTTCCTGGTGCTCATTAAAAAATATTTATAGATGGTATAGATAGTATAGGAAGAACGAGGTAGACCAAGAACTAATAGATAGATAACGTCTAGAAAACTCTACAACGAAATGATATATTCATGGCGGAGACGGGTAGAAGAGAAGAGGTAGAACCAAATATCTTCCTTGACACTTGAAACGGTCAAGAAAAAAGCGAAGAAGAGGAAATAGATTTTGCCCTGACAGATATTCGAACCTAAGACATTCGGTTCCACGGGTCAGACATTAGCCACTGCTCCTTTTTTTTTAAGGGCCCTACATTAAACCCAGTCGGCTCTGTGGCTAAGTCGATGCGAACGCTTCGTAATGCCGGGATGCCGGGTTCGATCCCAGTTGCGGGCCTTGCGTTGGTTTCGACAGTGGTATCAAGAAAGCCGACCGTCCAGCAAGCAATGGCCAACTACTGGACGTAAATTTGCCTAGAAAAACCACACAACAGCCAGGGACTGTTCGGATTGGTTCTGCAACGTCCTGTAAAGGATACGCAACTTACCTTTTCTTAACATTAAACACATTTAGACAAGTATTTAGATAATCATTTCTGTTGCATATGCCCAATTGGAGCTCTGACAATCATAGTCGACGTATGTACATATAATGACGGTAGCTGTGGTTTTTTGCGGCTAGACACTCTTTTGACGATCCGAAAGTCATGGGTTCAAATCTGCTAGGAGCTAGATTTCCTTTCAAACATGAACTTGTCTCCCAGGTCGACAAAACTTCAAATCGGTACCAGGTAAAGTCCTGGGAAGTAAAGGCGGCTAGAGTGATGGTGACAATAAAACACATCAAGGGCGAGTAGTAGAGAAAAGTAGGAGTCCTCATTTGTCCCATACGTGCACTGACCTCTAAAGGGCTCTACTTTTTGTTTCTTTCTGACACTAAATCCACTTAGACAGCTATTCGGAACATCAGTTTCTGCTGTAAGTGTTTACACTGCGCGGGGTCTCTGACATCCACAGTTGACGTGAGTAGATATAGTCTAGACATGGGACGCCTGGGTGATCACCAAGTGTCGGAGACGGTGAAATGAAATTTGTTTTCACACAAACATCGTTCTCAGATCAGATGGCACTGAGATTGTGGAATGCAATTTGTTTTTACACAAACATCGTTTTCGGATCAGATGTCAAGCAACAGGAAGTGTCATGGTGTCACTCTGATTTCAGTAATCTCGCAGAAATCGTGAAATTCATCGAGTGACATCTGAGGAGATGACGGTGTCGCGTGAAAAGTAAACCGGTAGAACGTTTGCAAAGTAATAACATTAATCGAAACTTAAATGTGAGGTGCAACCTTACTGGGTCTATGGCTTAGGCGAGGCGAACCCGCTTTGTAATGCCGGGGTGCCGGGTTCGATCCGCCTCGGGTGCTGGAGGTCCTGGGTTGAATTGCCAGTATAGGCTGGGAATTGTTCCTGTGGATTTCCAATGGTCTCAAGGTAGTAAGATCGAACTCCCGTGTGTATTATTGAGCTTGAGAAAAATCCCTTGGCAGTTGGAAATCGAAAAGAGTAGCTTAATTGCGCTGCCCGGGCAAAATTTGGAGTTAAAAATCTACTCAATGTATTTCAGGATCCTCGCTGGTGCTACAGAGTTCGTAAACTGCGATGAGATTCTTTGAACTCAAGCTTGAGTTAGAATTAGAACGGAGCACTTATGGGTTACGCCTTATGCCATGATGTTGATTCGTTGTAAAAATATAAACACAAACATAAAACGATTCTATATGTTTTTAGACCATAACGGTTAACAGAAACTGACGGTTAAATGAGTGACGGTCAATGGACGTTTTACTGTATCTTGTCTAGTGCCTTTCTTT